AAAAAAAAAACCCAAAAAAAAAAAAAAAAAAACCAAAAAAAATAAAAAAAAAAAAAAAAAAAAAAAAAAAAAAAGGAAAAAGAGAGAAACATGAAACACCAGATGGCAAATTCTGGAAGCAGGCGTTGCCATGGAAAAGAAGTAGCTGAAAAAGTGGGTACAGATAAATAGAACACTTAGCTGATGTAAAGATGAAGAAAATACGTTTTAAGGCAGCTGGACACATGAAATCAACTATAAACCTGACACTTGGGCTGTTACTGTCAAAAGTGGCTATGGATGAATCAGCAAAACATCTATATTCTTTTCAAGCAAATTTCCCAGCAGAACTCCTTGGTCACACTAGAGATGTTCCCCATTGCTTTAGGATGCATTTGTTCTGGCCCCCTTTCTAATACTGAATACTTAAAGGTGCTCCTTTACATTAGTTCTGGATCTTAACATTGTAAAATGAGGAAAAACTCTACAACAGAGTCACTACATAGTCAAGAGGAGTGCACAGGCAACATAAAATCTTCAGTTTGTAAAGAAGAATGTTAAGGAAAACAACCAGCATTTTGGGAAAGGTGAATCACAGAACACAGGATCAACAGCTTCTAGCTCAAATGCCCAAACACTTAGATCACATCTGAAGTGCCATAAAGGATACAAAGAAGAGGAGTTGGGTCCTCCCTACTCTGGTACTTAACTCAGGCCTTTTTTAATTGCAAGAGACACCTGAAGCTCCTTCATCAATGCATAACTGTTCCACTAAAATATTCATCAAACCTGATGTGGTAAACCTCGACTGCCTCCAAGCACCACAGTGCAAAGAACCTTGCTACCTAAAGAATGGCAAGTGAACTATCCTGGCTGAAAGAATACAGCTGTTTTTTGATTCAGCAGTGTCTGTTACTTTGTTTCTGGCTATAACATTCATAGATCAACATAGGTAAAGGGTACCAATCCTTCCTTTACCTCTTACACGCTTCTCTTAATTTCCCTCTTCCCACAATGATTAGCTGACTTTCGCAATTAGATACAGGATGTCTATTGTTTGCCTAGTTCCCAAAACTGGAATGAAAGGCTAGATGAGACACAGGAGCACCTATTAGATGCAACTCCTGAACAAACAGCCCAACCTGCTGAAAAAGGCTAAGCAACGAAGTCCAGATGGATGTTGGTGCCTTGGTACCTTCCTCCTTGTACAGCCAACACACATCATTTGTTATCCCAGCTGGCTTAAATAAAACATTCATGTTTGGCAATACTTAACACTATTAACTCTTATTCCAAAACTCTTGCTCTTTTCATGCCTTCAACAGAAGGTTTTAGGTTACTACTTATTTTCTTAATATTCTACTCCACTAAGTTACCTATACCAACATTTTAGTGATACTTCATACTTTGCACCTGTCTCTATTTTTTTTTTATCCTGAGGAATACTACTCGTTCCATTTGCAGTTCCTTAAGAGTGCAACCATGCTGCTCTGCAAATGGGTCAGTTTAACACAGTCCTTATTTTACTAACTTAATGATAGCTTGGGTCTTTACACCTGACAGCAGCATTTTCCTTGCTAAAGCTCCCTTTTCATCTACAGGCAAAGCAGAGAGAGCTTACATTTCATCTGTGCCCCTTACCAGCCAAGTACCCCCAGGTGCAATAGGGCTCTGGGCAGTGTTTCTGTGGCACTGAATGTCTGTTCTTATCTCTTGGGGGACAGGCAGGGGCTCAAACTGGAGAACAGGACCTGGCTGTTCACAAAAGCTGATCTGTTCACCTTATCAGAGATAAGGTGAACAAGATTTTTCCATGACAAAATCAGCAAGAAGGGGAAAAAGAACAATACTGATTTAGTTGAACTTACTACTTGGGGACAAATACTGAAATAGTTTTGGTGCAAATTTGGACAATAAAGGTAAGCAATTTTCTAACCACCACTTCTTCAAAAGCCAACTCTTCCATGATTACAGTGGAAACTCTGCATGAAGTGAAGTCATGAGTAATAAGCTGGAGGGTACCAAAACTCACCATTTCAGATCACGGAATAGTAAACACCAAGATTTTTTACTAAAAAGAGAAAAATAATGCCCTTGTTACTGCACTGTGGTGGAAATTTTATTTTTGGACAACAGTGTTTTCCTGAATTTATTTTAAAAAACAAATTAAAAAACACCTGCATGGGAATGTACCAATTTATGCCAGGAAAACAATAGCCAGTGAACCCTTCTTCACTAGGAGAAGGGTAGAGAGTTACTGAGAGCAAAAATCCCTAGGTATAGTTTACTAAGGTACTTATTTTTCAAAAAAATCACTTGAAGGTCTTGATTTCCTAAGGATGCTGAGTAAATTTTCCACAAATTGCTGTTAGAGAGAGTGGGGTGAGATACAAGTTTCTGCCTCCCACACTTGAGGTTATACAAACCAAACCCTTTTTTCATTCAGCTGTCATTTTTAGTTAACACCAGACAATATATAGTTACGTAAGTTTTTATTCCCCTCCCACACACCAAAGTACAGCTCCTCATAGGCTTCACTATGCCTTGAACCAGACTCCTCAAGAGCTCTAAGCGGGCAGTCTTGAAACATGCCCTTACGGACCTGTATGAACAGAGAAAATAAACACTGTAAGGGTTCAAAGTGTGCTTTGCACAGATTTCAAATGCTACTGAAACCTGACACACGGAAGCCTATTATTTAGCTGCAAGAAAGAAATTTACCTTTTTAAAAATTCTTTATAGGGTACCCATATGTTATCGAGTCTGTAAGACATTAGCAACCTACCTACACAGCATGTGCTGTGGAACTGGGTTTCACCTGTGATATTGCCAAAGGAATGACACAGTTTCTGTGCCAGAATTGATCCTGCATTATCAGTAAGTGCAAAGCTGGTTTGGGACTCGGCTGGTATCACTAGCACGGTGCACCCACGTCATCATCTTTCTCCTAACTCTGTATGGGTATATGCCATGTTTGTTCTTGTACAAGAATAAAAACGGCCATGAGCACAGGGTGTACAGCGCAATTATTCACAATCACTATTTTAGAGAACGAAAAAACCTACCGGTGAAACTGAAAGCAAACTGAATCAGAAAGACTGCCTGGTTCAGGTGCGCTGCTGCT